GCCGGCAGGGAGTTTTTTCGGTGGGGGACGGGGATGGCAATTGTTATGGGGGCAGGCTTTCGAGGCGGAGGGTTCGTGTCCAGAATTCAAGAAGGGTGGCGAGAAGATGGGTGGCAGGGTGACGGATGCATGCCAGTCTAGCCCACTACCCTTGGCCTTTCGTTTGGTCGTCCGTGATGACCCCTACGACACCATCGTATCGACGGGAGGGCGATGGAGTTGTCGTTCAATAGTCCTGGGTAGTGGTCCTTCGTCACCGTCCACCCCGCACAAGTGGGTGTTTATAAGGATGCGGGCGTCCTTGCCAAATGCACGATTGAACTCCAAACGCACGCATAACGCTATACACGCCAGCCTTCTCGCTGTCTCGCCTTCACCTGCTCCTGCCTCCTTTCCCCGCTTGCTCTTCTTTGCGGCACGAAGGTAGTCGCACGCTGCACTCCGCCTTCTTGGACGATCCTGGCCTTGCGGCGGGTTCGTTGTCTTGTGCGCGCGCTACGAAGCCCACTCGACGCCGCCTTTTGCACACGTTCCGACGTCATCGTCGCCATCCTCACCACCTTCGTTGCCTTCATTGCCATCATCGCTTTCGTCGCCATCATCGCCATTGCCACGACGATCGTGGTCGTCGCCTTCTTCAACGCACGGGGGCTTCCACCGTCGTCGTCGTCGCATTCAGCGTGGGACTTGTGAACGTCGTCGTCACGTCCTTCTGCCGTGGAGTGCGCAACTCATATTCATCATCGTCACCGTCATCGCCGCCATCATCGCCATAGTCGCCGTCTTTCCCCTCATCACCATCGTCGTCTTCATCTTCATTGCGGTCTGTTGTCGACAACGTCTATCGGGCCGTCGTCGACAGCGTCGCCATCATCGCCATAGCCTCTATCGCAGTGGAGACGATCTTTCGAAGCGCAGGGCACGTTTCGCCAACGATGCGGAGATCTCGACTCCGCGGGTGATTAAGCTTCAAGTGAGTGTGTCGTGCGCCATGTCGTCCGGCGGTTCTGGACACGGCAAGTCCGCTGCCCACCTGGCAGCGGAAGCGGCGGTCCGGGAGAAAAAGGGCCGCCACGTGGCCAACAAGAAGAGGAAGGTCGTCCAAGGCGGCCCCTCACTTGCAAGTTACGTCGACGATGAAGACTGGGTGCCGGAGAGGGTGGCGACGGAGGACGAAACCGACTTCGACGAAGAGGACAATGCGCCGTTGAAGAGGAAGTCGTGAAGGCGAACGGGTGGAGGCCTCCGGATAGATGAGGGTGGCGACAGACAAGGCGGAGGAGGGCGCACTATCATGGAGGACGTCATCACCGTCGACGCCGCGGCGGCATCCAGGAAGGGCAGGGGAAGTGTCGTCGCACATCAAAATTGCGCGCCCATGCCACGTGTGAATGACGCCCCCGACGCGCAAGAGGGTGCGCTCCACGCACTAACACCAACAACCCCGCGCTTGAGGACGGCTGCAGACGTGGGCGTCATCGTGCAAGCCATCACTCAGGGGAACAAGAACCGCTCTCCTGTGCAGGAGGCGAGCGAGGACGCAGGGGGAGGGGCTTCACACGCGGGGGAAGGCGTGAGGGCAGGCGGGGCAGCAGCGGGGGGGGCATCACGCACAGGGAAGAGACGAGGGCAGGTGGGGCACAGCGGGGGGGGGCATCACACGCGGGGGAAGGGGCGAAGGTAGGCGATGTCGCCGGAGCGGGGGAGGACGACAAGGCGCTGGTCAACAGGGTGCAGTAGTGGAATACGTGGAATGGAATGGAGGCGATGTCGAAGCTATGGGTGGACGACCTCCGCTTCTGGAACGAAATGAAAGGAATCGCCATAGTGAAGTTGATACAGGAAGCGCAGCTGTATCTTATGGCGGTGGCGAGGGGAGTGCAGCCTCCGGTCGTTCGTCGAAGCATCATCTTGCCTCATACGACCATCCTGCAGCAGAAAATCGCGGACGAATCGGAGTTGAACGCTGTGAAGGAGAGGGTGCTGAAGGTGCAGGGGATCGCTTTGTGGGTGATCCGCGGGTGGGTCTTCAAGTCTGCAAGCAGGCAACGGGGGTACCACGCTACGTACCAGTACGTGTTGAACCACGCGGCCACTTACATCGCTCGCACCATGTGGATGGGGGAGGATTGACGTATATGTGGGAGCCCCATGGTGATCCACATTACGCTGGATATGGATATGAAGTTGCCACTGTGGTTCGTCAGCGCCGACATCGAAGACAGGCACGAGAACGACGACTTGGTGACGTATCTTGAAGCGAGCATCCAGCAACTGGTGGGGGCTTTCACGAGCGCCGTGAGCATGGCGGAGGGGATTGACGATGGGCCGATGTCGTACGAAAGGTTGAAGAGCGTTGTCGACGCGATGAGGATCATGCTCGCGGCGACCATGTGGCTCATGCGGATGAGCGGGGATGATCATCGCGCGAATTACGACGCGTGGGTTTTCATCCAACTGACGACAAAGCCAACGCTCATCGCATCAATGCATCGCTCATTCGACGCGCGTCGCCATATCGTGCAAGTTGCGACTGTCATCAGGGACAAATTGCCGAAACCCCCCATGATTTTGGTAGCCCCTCCATTGTACATCCCCGACTGGGCATCAATTGGCGTGAAGTTCTCACATGATGCCACGTTGTCTTCCCCCATGGAGGCGAAGAAGCTGGATTGGTTGGGCACAGGCCCCCCGGAAGAGGAAGACGACGATAAAGCGGACGACGAAGGCAGCGAGGGGGGTTGATGGCGCTTTCATGGCGCCTATCTTTGACGTCGCCATCGCAGGGTGGGATAGGGGGGTCGTCGTTTGGCCCAGAGAGACGGTGATGTGGGATGGGGGACGAGGGGGTGGGGCGTCGTGCATGTGCGTGTTCGTCGTGCTTGTTGTTTTCTCTCGCGAGGTGCTGCTCTGCCATCACTTGGTTGAAGACGGCTCACCCATCGTCATGCCGGAGTGTACATATGTCATGGGGTTTTGTACGGCATAGGGGGGCTTTGCAATTCTGTTCGCCTATTGCGGCCATGTGTCTTTCGTGTTGCTGCACTGCCTGTAGGTAGCACTCCGATTTTGTAGCCGGCGTCGTGTGCTCGCCAACACGTGGGATGGTCGTGGCAGTGGCTGGAAGGGAAGTTCTCGCCAACGAGTCTTTGGTGGTGAAGAGGGGAGAGATGCAAAAAGGGGGAGATGGAA